TCATTGGAGTCAGGGGGAGGAATAGTGCCCCATCATTGGTGTCAGTGGGTGGAATAGTGCCCCGTCACTGGAGTTCACATTCACAATCTTCCATTTAAGATCATTTCGGAGAAGAAAGTATTCAATCTTTTTTTTTTTGCAGGCACATTATTCTTCTTAATTTGAGATTGTTGATTGGAGACAACAAAGCGATTTTAATCGGATCACTCCGGTCGTGAGAGCGTTGGCTTAGATCATGAAGGGGTTATCTACCACTGCAGTCAGAAGAAGGGTTCATCTGGTTTCGTAATGTCGAGCCATCGCCTGCAGATCCGCAGCCTCTCCAATTATCCTGCCGTAGTCTTTTGCCCTGCCTCACGCCCGGTTAGCCGGCGCCAGACCCTGTTGCGGGTGAAGTGCTCGGCTACCCTGGAGGATCAGGCCCGCGGAGGAGCCAATTAAACGCGGCTCGGCGTGGATTTCTGCCTGAGCCGCACAAGCGTTCGGAGCGAATTAAGAGCGAAGCACAATCTCAAGAGGCGTGCGCGAGGCTCTGCGTGATTGGAGATTGTCAGTATTCTACTCTCGGCAGCCTCGTGTCAGCCGAAGCGCCTCCCGGCCTGTCTATTGATTATTCTTTCTATTCAGAGCACGAGGCCTGCTGGAAACGCGGAGAGATCGGCAGCCTCGAGCGCAGCCCTTTCATCTGACTGTGCCGGGGCGGTTTTTTGTGCTTGTGAGAACCGTGCCGAGCTTATTATTGTATAGTAGTGAAGTCTGAGACAATCACACCTTCAAATGTCAAACCGATACAACCTCTGCGCCAATGTCACTGCTAACAATAATAAACGCCAATTACTAATCATTCTAAAGTGAGTGTATATGTGCTGCGCCGAAAATTATATATATATACAGGTGAAACTCGAATAATTAGAATATCGTGCAAAAGTAATGGCAGTAAGTACTGCAAAAGGGGCTACACCTGGAAGTGTGGGGGGGTATATTACAATGACACCTGGAGGGGGGGATATATTACAATGACACCTGGAATTGGGGGGTATATTACAATGGCACCTGGAAGTGGGGGGATATATTACAATGACACTAGGAAGTGGGGGGATATATTATTATGACACCTGGAATTGGGGGGTATATTACAATGGCACCTGGAAGTGGGGGGATATATTACAATGACACTAGGAAGTGGGGGGATATATTATTATGACACCTGGAATTGGGGGGTATATTACAATGGCACCTGGAAGTGTGGGGGGGGCATATTATGACGCAAGTGAACATTTTGTCCCTGAAGTTGATGTGTTGGAAGGGAAGCAGATATAATGGCCAAGAATAAGGATTTGAGGGACTTTATCAAGGGACAAATTGTGATGTGTAGACGACTGGGTCAGAGCAACTCAAAAACTGCAGCTCTTGTGGGATGTTCCCGGTCTGCAGTGGTCCAAGGAAGGAAAACCCGTGAACTGGTGACAGTGTCATGGATGGCCAGGGCTCATTGATGGACGTGGGGAGGGAAGGCTGGCCCGTGAAGTCCGATCCAATAGAAGAGATACTGGAGATCAGATTGCTGGTAAAGGTAATGTTGGTTCTGATAGAAAGGTGTCTGAACACACAGAGCATCGCAGGTTGTTGTGTATGGAGCTGTGTAGTCGTAGACGGTCAGGGTGCCCTTGCTGATCTATGGCCACCACCAAAAGCCCCTACAATGGGCATGTGAACATTAGTAATGGACCACGGTGCAGAGGAAGAAGGTGGCCTGGTCTGATGAATCACTTTTTCTGTTACATCATGTGGATTGCCGGGTGCGTGTGTGTCACTTCCCTGGGGAAGAGATGGCAGCAGAGTGCACTATGGGAAGAAGGCAAGTTGAGGGAGGCAGTGTGATGCTTTGGGCAATGTTCTGCTGGGAAACCTCGGGTCCTCCTATTCATGTGAATGTTACTTTGCACGTTCCACCGACCTAAACATTGCTATTGACCAAGTACCCCCCTTCATGGATGCGGTAATTCCTGATGGCAGTGGCCTCTTTCAGCAAGATAATGCGCCCTGCCACACTGCAAAAATGCTTTAGAAATGGTTTGAGGAACACAACAACGAGTCTGAGGTGATGACTTGGCCTCCAAATTCTCCAGATCTCAATACAATCCATCATCTGAGGGATGTGCTGGAAAACCAAGTCCGATCCATGGAGGCCGATCACCTCACAACTTACAGGATCTGCTACTGACGGCTTGCTGCCAGATACCACAGCACACCTTCAGAGGTCTAGTGGAGTCCATGCCTGGATGGGTCAGAAGGGGGGGGCCTACTCAATATTAGGCGGGGTGGTCATAATGTTATGGCTGATAGGATATTTTGTATATAATAGATATACCAATCACATACCTATCAAAACAGTGTTTCTCAATGTCCCATAAACAATACATGTACAAGAAAATCTGTATATACAGTATATATATATATATATATGTGCCACACTACAGTCAATGAAAGGCCTATACACCCAAAAATATAAGTGTTGATATTCCAAACTTCTCCTCCACCACCAGCTCACCATCGTGCGCACACCCAATACAGTGCTGCTCACATCTAGAACAGACCTCTTTATGGCCGGACGGGCTTTATACCCAGACACAGATCCGCATGTTGTGAATCTCCTACTGCTCCACATGGGCACTCAGCAATATATAACCTCGCGTTGTATCAGCCCAGAATAGGAGAAGACACGCACCATTGCGCACACCTTGTCATTTCTATTAAAAAAAAACTTTATTAAAAACTCGCTCACGTAAAAAGTTGGCATATATCGCATTCGCACTTTTAATTTAAAATAAAATACACAAATGCCGTGATACAAACATAAAGTTTACTTGAGAGTAAAACGGCACGCACAATTCTTTGCAATCGCACAGCACTGGAATGCACAGCATTGCGGTACCGTGCGTTCCAGTGCCGGCGATCACACTGTGGGTGGGAGGCGTGTTTGGGGTGCCATTGAAATGAATGGCACTGCCAAGCACCTCCTGCAGCAGAATTTGTCAGGCCGAAACCAAAAATGACTTTTTTTCAGCGGAGGAATGACAGCGGCAAGATTCAGCAGGCGGCAGCTGAATGTAAATACAGAAGGTAGTGGCCAGGTGCAATAGCCAGCCTGCTATTGGCCATTTCAAACAGCAATAGCCAATAGCAGGCTAGCTTATTGCACTCGCCCACTGCTTGCTGTGCCCTCCTCCCAGCGTGTAGGAGAGAGCCAGGGGATTCAACCAACTAATCGATAATGAGAATAGTTGACCACTATTGATTATTCGATTAGTTGGTTGCAGCCCTACACTGGACACTTGTAGCACTTATATCAGCACTGTGGATTGAGTAACAGTTACTGTGCATGGTGCCTCCAGCTTCAGAAATCTGATAAGTGGATGAATAGTGATCTCCTTAACCCCTTCACGTCCAGTGACGTCCAGTGTGCATCACTGGCATTGGCCCGTTTAATATTTACTCCCCATTCTATGGGACCGGGAGCGACGTGTATTGCATAACTTCCGGTCCCTTAGCTGTCAGTGCTGGGCTCCTGAAGCGCGATCTGCACTTCAATAGCTTATTGAGAGTGTAAAGGTGACACTGGGGGGTCTTTTCGACCCCCAGCATCACCTTAAAGAGTACCTGTCACTGCCAATCTGCTATCACAGGGGCTGTGTGTTAGCCCCCTTTGTGATAGCAAGTAAAGTTTAAAAAAAAACAAAACAATTTTTAAAATTAATATTAAATATTAACCCTAAATATAAAAATAATAAAACATTTATTTTTTAAGTCCCCCGCCCCCACGAGCACGCCCGTCTTCACGTAAACAAGCGTCGGGTGCGCCTACGTATGAAAACTACGATCACGCTACACATGTTGGGCATCACCGCTCACGCAGGACTGAAAGCAATAATTCTAGGGACAATATTAAGGCGTATCTCTAAACTGATGACCTGTGGGGGGCTTTTAAAAGCATCGTCTATGGACTTTTTGGGGTACTGAATTTTTTGTCGCAGTTTCACGGACGCAATTTTTAACCTGGGCATGTTGGGTATTTATTTACTGGTTGTAAACTCGTCTTTTACATTTTATTTAAAGAAAACAGGTATTCTATTTGGGGTTTGATAAGGAGTTGTGCTAATATCGTGCAACAATAAAATTTGCAACTGCCACCATTGTATTCTATAGGTTCTTGGCTTTCAGAAAACATATCATGTTTTGGGGGTTTTAAGTAATTTTCAGTCCTAAAATGTGGATTATAACAGTAAGTATTTTTCGGCTTGGTGTGCTTATTTCCACTATTATACATAGCGTTCTCCTTAAGCCCCCAGTATTAGCTTTTTGGACCCATTAGGTCTTCTTCAGGATCTATGAAGCCTGAAGAAGGCACCTAACGGGCCCTGAAAGCTTGCATCTTTCATAACGTAAGTTAGCCAATAAAGGGTATCACTTAAAGGAGAACTATGAGGCGAGTGAAAATCACTCATCCTCATAGTTCTAGCCGACCTGTGACAATGAGACTGTCACACGTCGGCTCAATGGATCGGGAAGTGAGTGAACACATACCGTCGCTCGCTCACTTCTCGATCATCTCCCTGCAGAGAGCCGTGACTGTCAGTCACCTCTCCCTGCAGGGATTCCTCCCCCGCGCTGACTGACAGAGGAGGGGGCGGGCACATAGGCAGATAGATAGGCAGAGCCAGCTGTCACTCACACAGGTGGGTGGATCTCGACAGTAATGTCGGGATCCGTCCCGGCTGCGGCGGTCTCAGTATACCGCCAGCTGTAGCTCGCAGTATACTAAGCTTTGGGTCACGGGAGAACGCTAGTATATGTATATGAAAAATACTTACCCCACAGTTCTCTTTTAATCTTAATTTTTTTGCATTAGGCTGAATATGTCAGATATTGATAGTGCATCAAAATATTTGTTTATTGATCCTTCATTCTGAATTGTAACACTTTGTCGTGTCTCCGTGCAGGACATCATCTCTCAGATGGAACACGGGCACCAAAGAACGAATGTTGATCAAAGTTACGGATCGGGAGCCGAGCTTTCTGATGCACCAGGGGAATGGATACACTACTGACAATGCCCAGGGCACCCGGTCCCGCCGGCCATCGGGGGGGCAGCCTTCCCCCATCATGCAGACGTTTTCTGTAGACACGGACAATTCTGTCTTCTTCCCCGAAAGAAAATCCTCACCGTATTTAAAAAGAGCGGAACATGTTGGCTCTTGCTCGCCGCTCCTTGGGCGAGGCGAATCATTCTGCACGTTACAATCTCAACACCGAAAGCACTCGAATGAGTCCCAACCTTCTTCCCCACGCTATGCGTACGAGCCCCCGCTGTACGAAGAACCTCCCATGGAGTACCAGGCTCCCATCTACGACGAACCGCCCATGGAAATGCAGTTCGACAGCAGTGGCAATTACCGGGCAATGTCCCCTCAAAAGTCACCTGTACGCAAGTCACACGGCTACCTACAGTCCCCCAAACAGGTCTCCAACTCTCCATACCAACAGCTTGTGTTGACCAAACAGAAGTGCTCTGACAGGTTCATGAGCTTGGACTACAGCCCAGCTGGCAAGGAGTACGTGAGGCAGTTGGTCTATGTAGAACAGTCAGGGTCCAGCCCAAAGATGAAAACGGGTATCCGGCATAAATACACACCTAATACCATTGGTGGGTCTTACTCCTTGCAGCACAATCCACCCTATATGAGGGACCATCGTCTGGAGGTGAAGTCTGGAGACTACAGCAGCATGGATAACGCAGATCTGCGGCTCAACCAACAACAACAGCAGCAACAGCAGTTTCATTCAGAAGATTCCATGTCTTGGTCCAGTCAGCAGGACAGCATGTCCTCTACGAGCTACTCCCCCAACACAAGAAAACGGAAAAGCAGGAAACCGTCCTTGTCCCAGGAACCAAACTCTGCTCCCGGTGATGTTACCGCGGAGAGGGAGCAAATGAATGAGCATAGTATGGTGGAGGAAAGGCCTTCATCGATGCCCAACAGGCCGCTGATGAGCCGGACAGAGAGCCGGTCGTCGGAGTCCGATATGCACCGCGGCTCTCCCGAAACCTTTATGGCCCAGGCCCGGCTGGCTTGGGAGGCCCAACAGGCCCATTTCCACATGAAGCAGAGGAGCAGCTGGGACTCTCAGAAAGATGGCTCTGGCTATGAGAGCGACGGTGCCGTGCCTCTACCTATGCCCGGCCCTGTGGTCAGAGCCTTCAGTGAGGACGAGGCGCTGGCACAGCAGGACGGCAAATACTGGAAGAGAAACCCCTTCGATAAGCTCGGATTCCCACAAATATTACTGGAAAAAAGTGTGTCTGTTCAAACCAATCTGGCCTCACCGGAGCCGTACTTACACCCATCTCAGGTAAATAGGGCGAGCTGTTATATTCACTGTATGATAAATCGGTAGAGTGTCCTGTGGGTGGGGAAGGCAATCGCTTGTGTGTGTGTTCTATCATGACAAGTGTTGATTGGCCAATTCGTGATTGGCAATAGATTTGGCATTCTGAGGGCCCAGAACCAGATTCTGGAAACCAACTGGAGTCCTGACAACGGCCAACGCACCAACCGAGCACACAATTCACTTCTACAGGTACATATGCAGAATGACCCCCCACCCACCACAGGAAATTACCTCCCACCCACCACAGGAAATGACACCCCACCCACCACAAGAAATGA